AGTTGTGGTCAAGTGGTAAGACACCAGCTGCCCAGCTATGACTTGGCTTCAGTGTCCATACTATTGCTGCCGTCTTCCTTAGTAACTGCAACAAAAATTTATAAGATAAAAGCACTTTAAAATGTGCAATATGTTTAATTCCTTTTTGTTTGTTTCTAAAACAAGGAATGGGAAAAAGCACGGGGATATGGGAAAATGAAAATGGAAACAAAACCTGACGTTAAATTAAACTTTCGATGTGAATATATTCACCCACCAGCCCGTGCAACCACTTTCCTTAAATGGCACATTAAAGAGAATCCTCACCATTTATCTTTTGGGCAGATTTTGACTCTTGGAAAAACAAAACAACCAGCAGACTTATAGCAGCGAGCGAGCCTGTGACGATTGAAAAAACGTGACGTACATAATCTCCGCACTCGTCGCAGTCTTCGGAGGTACTACATGAAAAGAAAAGAAAAAAACAAATAAGAGTTTTTATAAATATATCTGTGACATTTTTTTGTCCACAAAGAGCAACCTCACGTGACTTTTATTGACATAATAAGGGAATCCAAGACAGTCCAGATTTTACAAGTAAAACTTTTCCAGGTTCCGGATTCCACAGACCAAAAATTCCCGGATTTTGGAATCTGTCTTACTTTACATTGGGCGAAATTATACAGGATGAAATTACCGGTAGTAATGCCTCTGTCACCAACAATGCTGAAAGCTTGAATCGGCAGTTGAAAGTGATCGCGTGTCGGTGAATCGTTTGGCTTATTTTTAAGAGTTGGGCACAAAAAGTCAACAGCCACCGACAACTTAATGCCAAACAAGCTAGGTATATTAGGTCTGAGGGGCATTAAGGATTTGCAAGTAAAGACAGAAAAAGAGTGTGGGGTTTCAGTTTAAAAGGACCTTATTTCAGTACGTTTCAGACGTAACTGACCTTCCAACAGTGAAACGTATACAGTTGTTGGGCGTCCATTAAACACCAATCGATGTTCACATTGTAATAACATTTAACCCTCATTTAACAGTTAACCCCAGACATACCCGTCACAAATATTTTTAACAGTTTTCAATTTTTAATTGTACATTTGTTTTTAGTAATCCTTATTTTTCTCGTAACTGTTGTATACACGTCCCCAGCAGCATTGCTGATCTTTTTATCGTGTTAAAATTTTTATAATTAAACGTTTTATCTATCTATCTCATTTTGTATTTGTCAACCTTAACTCGCCGTATTTATTTGTTTCTTTTATTTTTCTTAATTCACAAACGTATATTGACCTTCCTGAAGGAAACAATTTCTGGATTGTCATGACCGTAGCGCCTCCAAATACGTTTGAAAATAAAGTCATCACAGCAAATACAACACCAGATGTGTCCTACAAAGAAAAATTAAATATATAAATGAATAAAATAAACAAAAACGGAAAAATCATGTTTAAGATCAGTTGTCGTGAAATGAAATTCGATCTGTTTTGGTGTTTGACTTTTATATCTAATTTGCACTTGAGAACATTCTCTCTAAAGGCTACCGCTAAAATTGGGCCTGATACAATTAAACTCTCTCACGTTTGTGCTCGCTACGGCCAGATTTTGGCCGTAACGCTGACTGGCTGTTAGAACAACGCCACAAGATCTGATTGGCTATCGGAAACGCCGGAAGTTGAAAGCGCTTATTCCTCGCGTTGTTGTTTTCGTGCGCCGTGGGCGGAGAAAAGGATCGATTTTGCTGTCTTTTTTTATTGTTTTATGGTCTTATGGTAGGAAAATATGCCTTAATATGTGCCATGGAAATTCAGAAAATTCATATGGTTGTTCATATCTTCTCAGGATTTGCTTTATTTACGGAACTAATGTGAGTGTATCGCGGAGTTGAATCCCACTGCAAGTTGTTGACCGCTAACAAGGTGCCTTTTGATTTACCAACAAACGAGTGCAAACCAAAAAACTAATATATAGTACGTGTAAACAAAAAAAATTAAATCGTGTGATAGAGCATCGAGTCGCCGTCTTTTCGAAAACTTTTTACCTTCTACGCCAACAGAAATAACCTTCGCGATCTCCTTTAATCTCGCAAGAAGTTAAATGTGATTGCGTAGACTGTTTTATTTTTAGCTGAAAAAATTAAAAGATGAAAGCTCTTTTTAAAGTCAGCCTGAGTCTGCCAGTCTGCATTGTTTCCCACGCATGAAAAATTTGCATACTAGAAAAACAAGGAACGGAAGTAATTTTGGTTGGCTGATTCAGCAAATGTCAATCAATCAAAAAAGTGGGCGGCAGACGTTTCGTGGAAGGTTTGTATCAGGCTCTCTTTTCGTTTCGCCTTGCCCGCCGGAATGTTATTACAATGCGAAACGAAAATTGAGCCTGATCTCAGGTTAGGCATGATTATATTTAACATTCATTTGTGAACTACATTCATGTATTTTACATTCATTTGTAAACCTTCTGACCATGAGATCCAGGCAACGTGGTTATTTTTGAGAGTTAAATTTCTCTATAAATTTAATTTAAAAGCTGTCGGGACAACCTCCGATGTTAAAAAAAGAAAATTGTAATATTGTTGAGAGACCCCGAACCAGATCATACCTTTAGTTAATTTCACTTGTGTAAACCTTGTGTAAATGTGTTAGTTATTAATACTCAGTCAGGCTTTCAAAACAGCTAAAGGAACTGCCCTTCAAACGACTAAACCACTGTTTGGCTCTGATAACCCGTCTATTCTACTGCAGAGAACGTGAATGAAAGACTTCCTGAATACATTGACACTTCACACAACATACTTGACGTAACAAGTGCTTTCCTAATTAATTACTCACTTTATTTGGACCAATAAGCTGCGTTGCGAAGGCCAGTGAGTTAACGGCCATGGAGGAGAATCCCCAACCTAACAGTACAACAGCTGGGTAGGTCATCACTCTGTTGGACTCACTTATGAAATAAAACCAAACGCCAGCTCCAATAACGAGAAGGGCAGACAGGATAAACGTCCACTGAACGTAGGTCGGAAAATGATCATAGATTGTAAGGTTAGAAAAGTTAGATCATTTTAGCATCAGTTTAGTGATATTTACTTACTTACTTACTTACTTACTTGCTTACTTTATTGATCATTACCTATTTAAACATACTTTGCAGACGATTTTTGCTCTGTAGGCACGCTGGGTCAGCAAAAATTAAATAGTAATAGTCATGCAAAATGTAGTGTTCGAGTTTCGACAAGATTTGTGTCAGTATTGTCTCTCCACGGTCTCTACTGCATCCAAAAAAGTAACAATTATCACTCCAACCCACAATTTGCTGTTATGAAGATTTCTTTATATTTCTGCTGTCTTAAGAATAACAAACTTGCACTGGCAAATTTTATAGCTTGTTTGTCCCCCCTCCCTCCCCGAAAAACCGACGTGACATTGCTTTTATCCAATCAGTCCTTTAAGGGCGAACCAAGATGGTGGGTATCGTGAATAAGGTCAATTTGAAGAGCAAGTGGTGGAACCAAGAACACTGTTCGAGGACAGCAGAAGACTTACACGACCCGGATCTTCAGTGGTTTCAGGGGTAAGAAACCTTACTTCCATTGGCTCAAACCGTTTTTGGTATCCTTACCAAGATTGGCGGAACTATTAAAAAATATTTAAACTATAACTTACTGTAACCAAACGGGGCGGAAAATTTGCTTCATTTTCAGAGGTATAAATGTGACATTCTCAAGAGTGCAATTCCTTACCTTGCCTCCGATTTTGACAACAATTCTCTTTGAAACAGCGGATGATAGTGCTCCACTGCTTAACATAATAAGTGGTAGATATGCAATGGACTCCTAATAAAGAAAAGGTGTAGACAAAAATTCAGTTTTTATACTAAAGTTCTAAACTACTGTGCACTTTCCTATTCGCAAGTATTGTAAATAGGTTTAGAGTTTTATGGTTTAATAACGATAAGTTAAATTTTAAACACTTATTATTGATGAACAGTTACGACTTTTAGATATTTCGAGCAACAACAATTTGTGGTCTGTTCTCTTTGAATTGTATATATACATATGTATATTTAAATACGTATTTATACCTTTGCGAAATGCGCTCTGTAAGTTAGAAACAGTGGCAAGTATGAGTAAGAAATGTTTCGCAAAACAAATGTGCAGGTAAAGATGATGGCAACCTGAAGATAGAAATAACAACGGAAGTTAGTACAGTTCTGAAAATGTGAAATGCTGGGGAGGGCTGTGAGACAAGGGGTAATTACCATTTACATGGGGAAATTAAACTGGAAATCACGGTTGGAATTCAAATGTTTCGCGCCTTTTCGTTTGCGAAGCTTCAGAAATATTGGCTGTGATGTGAGGCAATAATGATAATAATAATAATAATAATAATAATAATAATAATAATAATAATAATAATAATGATAATAAAATCTTTATTACAAAACCTCAATTAAAATCCTATTTACAATCAACCTGCTGTTACAAAAAATCTAACCAAGTGTAGGCAGCATTTTGTGTGTAGGAGGTAGCAACAGAGTACTGTTGTTTGAGCGGAGACTGTAGGTAGATTTGGGTTTGATAGTTATAAGTTCAGTGATGTAGGGAGGAGAGAGGCAATGCAATTTTTCAACTCTTTTCAGCATTTGTAGCCTTCGTTTTGATATACTTTGTTAGTGGTTCGTTTTCCCACCTCGTCAAATGTTATAATTTTACGTTTATGTACAACAGTTACACCTGGGTGGTTTGTGTAAATGGCGGCACCCATGTTTTTTGAAAATACGGCAAAGTTATCTATAACAGCCGGCTAAAGCAATTTTTCACTTGGGCAGTACGAAATTGTAATCAGAAAATTGCGACGTGTTAGCTGTTTGAGTGCTTTGTTTTACAGTTGTTAAGGAAATAATTAGTGAGACTCTATCGAGCGAAACAGGCAAGGAGGAGGGGGTGGGGTTAAAACGATGTTCTCACAACTTGCAAAGCGGTCCCCTTGCGTGGTGGTCAGCGGATAATTGCAGTAACTTTCCCCATATTTTTTTTAAAGTATCTTAGAAGCGAGAACCGAACTGGTAGAGGAAATAATAAAAAAAATCATGCCTTTTTGGTTTTCTTGCATATCGTCCTTTGGTACTGAAATTGCCTGGGGAACTAAAACGCAATTAAGTCACCGCAACCGTGTGAAATCTTAACCGACAACAACGCGCGCTGGACCATATTAAGCTTATATATCGATCGATTTATAGGTTACATTCCTTTTGCAGGGCGAGGACATCAGAAGATTATACAAGTTATGATGCTGATAAAAATTACTGGAAAAAGTGTCAAATTTATCGGAAGTAAGACAGTATATTCAAGAGAGCCTTATAAATATGAGCTTACAGCTGTGCGTATCATACATGAATAAACAAGTCATTCACACTTCATTAACATTTCACTTCGTTTATTACGACCAGTCAGAATTGAAAGTTAAAATTCAAAACGATCCTAATGAATAAATCACAACTTTTACTGAAAGCTCCGTACCTTGAAGCAACCTTAACTTTCCTAAGGTTTGCAGCAAAACACTAATCGATAGCTCAACTCCTCAGCGGTTCTTGTGAAGTATGCACATCATATTCCAAACTCTGCAGAGGAAAATTGTTTAACAGAAAAACGAAAACCACTCGCTATATGTCTGAAAAGCGTGTCTGAAAAGCGACATAAAATCAAAAATTGCGAATTACCAAAATATAATAAACAGTCCCACCTTCGTTCGCCATGTTTTTTTCCTTTTCAAAACTGTTGAACTATGGCTTTTGACGTAAAGCGCATGACTAGTACACAAATCCGCCGGCAAGACCCTTGCTAAACGCTTTGCAAGTTGTGAGAACATCCGTGTGTTTGGATTTCATTTAAGAGAATGTATGGGAAAGTAGCCCCCCTCCCTCCCCCCATGGCCACCCCTTTCCAGTATCAGGATTAGTCAAAGGAGAAATACCTTGTAGAGATGCGGGTTTTTAAGCCAGGCTCGTAAGGTCATGGTGGGTGCAGATGTTGATGGACAAGCAGATTCCGGGTCATCAGAGTTAGTGGATGGTTTGCCATTCACCCCTACTCTCTGAGAATCGTTCAAATTCACCTCCACAGCTGGTTCTAGTTTAATCTGATCTGGATAAAACCTTTCCGATTCTGTTTCACAGGACTCAAGAAAACCTTTGTTATCCACACCAGACGACAATGAAGAACCAGACTGGGAATCGTATTTGTGAGATTTTTCTTCGGTTTCGTCTTCGTTGCCGTAACGATCATTTGGTACAGTGCAGTTGACGCCATCCATATCTGTAGCAGTTTTAGAATCACCTCCAATCAGTTTGTAAAAGAGTCTCATCAAAATGCTTATTTTTGTTTCTCGCGGGAGCTCTTTTACTTCCTCTAACCGGTTTCCTTCTTCCTTCCTCTTTCTTGTTTCCTTGTTTCCTTCGCCTGACAACTCTTTAGTTCCAACATGGAATATCAGTGAAAATATGAGACCTATTGCAATCGATATTGCCGCAATTATCTAAAAAAGAAAGAATTGAAATTAATTTAAAAGAGGTACGGTGGTTAAAGGAGCACTTATTAATGACATTTCGCTAGAAATAAGAGCAAACCATGAATTATTTTACCGTGAAGTCCACCAGGCTTTCTGTTGAGAGGTTGTTTCTGGGATCTTGTCCAAGAACTAGCCAAGCCACGAGGTAGGTAGCAATTCCACTTAAGAACGTAAAGGTAACCCTACAAGAACAAAATAAAATATTGTAAATGTTATCCGTATTATATTGTCGGATAAGTCATCTCAAGGGCCGTGAAGTCATTTCAGTGTTGGTTATTGATTGCAAGGGAGAAGACACAATGGATCTCTAGGGTGAACCTGCGAATGCAAATGTATAAAATAAACTGAACAGGTTCGAGTTATCCAGGCGAAAGGTCTGTACAGGTGTTTAGAATATTGAATTATAAGGAAGACGAAGAACAAACCTCAACGCGCTCAATTCTACAGCTTCAATTTGATCTTTAGCAATCACAGGTATAAGTGTCAAGTGTCCAATATCCAGTAAGGAGCCTGAAAGCGCCAATATCACATTAAATATTGAAAGTCTTACAATTTTTTGCCACTCCTCTCTATCGTTCGGACAAGCGTAACATGTGCTGAAAAACATCGGCATAAAAATGACGCCCAACACAGTGCCGACTAAATGCCAAGACTTTCTTCTTCCAATTTTGCGCGACAAAAATGGGATGTTGATTCTATCCACCAGGAATGCGCTGAAAGGCGAGGCAAAAGCGAGAGCCAGTTTTTTCTGGAGTGCCAACCAGCCGGCATTTTCCGCGGAGAGACCAAGAACTTGCATAAAGAATACCAGCCTGAACGAAAATTGGAGCTGACGCATGATGTCATTGATCACATGACCTACTCCACAGGCAAAGCGTTGGATAAATGGTGTTCGAGGTTCTACATCTGTCCCTTTGGTGCACCCATGGTACAACTTCCGTAAAGTCTTCATATTAAAATCCTGTGAAGAAAGATCATAGGAGTGGTTTATGTAAAAGTTGTTATTGACTGAATTTTGCTCTTCTCCCGCTGCATATCTGCTCAGACTGCCCAACTCTTTTTCTACTATGTCAAATTAGGCAGCTGAACAGGCAGGGTTACTTCTATTGTCTGACATTCTTTGGAAACAATTGCTGATTTTTACTGTCAGGCGATCAAAAATTAAAATCAAAGCCTTTCAAGGTCGAAAATCTGGGAAATGAAAGAAGGTATGTATGCACAAAGACCCCTCGAAAAGATTCATATCGGTGCAATTTTTCATATGCGAAATATTTGTTATAAGAATTTATATTTTATAAGAACTGAAAATCGGGACTGAAATTCGTGTAACTTGAAGAATATAGTTAAGAATAAACCCCTTAAAAATCAATAAATACAATACAATAATATGTTTGTGACTTACTCCTTTCTCTAAACGGCAAAACTAAGCAACAAAGCGAAAAAACCTGCACTAACTGTAATTGAGTGTATCAAAACAAGAATACACGTTATAATTTTTTCAAATCGTTCTTTAACCTACCACTTGGGAAGCAACCTCGTTCCCAGATTCTCTCTCCTACCCTTAGGGGCGGTAGGAGAGAACCCTGAGATCGAGGTTGCTTTGGAAGTTTTTGATGTGCAGCAGCTATAACTTACAAGTACGTCTACGTATTGTTCAGTATTCAAAATATTTTTCTGTGTCTGAAGGGTTTATTCTCGGCCCTAGCCAATTCTTCAGAACAAGCTGGAGCTAGCTCGTAAGAAGGTTGGATTATGCCATCAGGTCGTCAGTCGCTCAGACGTTAATGTATGCTTATTTATAACATCACACAAGACAGCGGCCCTGGGTTGAGCTAGCGGTTTAGCTGTTTTGCAGTGAGCTGTGCACTTTATGTCCTAAACAATAACTTGAAGAATCTCAACTGCCTTTTCAGGAATACCTGAAAAAGATATACTTGATTTCAGCTGATGCAGAACTGCTGTCCGTCTGTGCTAAATAGAAGGACTAGAGCGAGAATACCAGAAATAGACTGTTTTATCAACTGAGGATTTGACTAGGCATTTTATTACTATATATATAGTTTCGTTCTACACGATGGTGTAGCACTCTTCAGATAAAATAGCCTAATGGTAGATTACAAGAGTACACTGATTATAACTGAAATTTAATTAAAATGCGGTTACTACGGATGCAACGCTGTTTGGGTTCCATTATGCGACAGAAGAGGACTTGAAATTTTTCAACAGAACTTTGCTAGCGTGTCTACACGAACAATACAATTAAGCTTGTTGCGCCTGTTAAGATTGGCTAGATTGTAATTACATATAAATAAATAAAAGTGTACGTTATCTTTGCACTTTTATTCACAAGTGTTTGAAAGGGCTTCTGTACCCACGGATCGAACCTTTTTTTGCACTGGCAAGTCAAACACAAAACGAGGTGCACTAGTCAATTTAATGTCGAACTACCGGCTGTGTGAACAGAATTTTTTTCAAGTATCCGCCTTTTCATATTTGGTTTTAGCATACTAAAACAGTGGATAGCGTTTTTTGCGTGCTCTGATTGGCTACTCAATCAGTGAATATCCTGCACTATTCACTGATTCACCCGCCAGTTCCTCCGAGCGACCGACGACAAACTCGCGTAAGTTGCGAACAAAAAGACTTCCCGGTTTGCTGCCGTAAACAAACAAAGAAATTCATTCACAACTAATGAAGCAAGCTGTTCCGGAAATACACGAAGAAGATGGCGAAGGTCGGTTGGGAAGTTTTAACAGGTAAAGCTATGTATTTTTACTTGAAGTTATCGATAAAACCGGTGAAAAAGTTTTTTGTTTTACAAATGCAAATTAAGCCTAAGTCTTGCGTTACTTTATTTAGTTGACTTGTTCATAAATAAGCTTAAAACTAAGTTTCATAATCTTTTTTTACAGAATGATTTTGAATACAAAAAGAATTCACAACTCCTTTTGAAGAAATTTCCCCGCAAGAGCTAAACAAATGCCTTCAAGAAATTGATACCGCGCCAAACGTGCACCTGCTTACGTGGATTATCGTCGGCGTGGTTTGGTCCATGACTTTCCAGTTGAGCGACATCAAAGTAGTGTTTGATAGACGTATTCGATATTAATGAAAACGCTTTTGAATAGGAAAACTTTTCAGATAAATCTTAAAAGGAATGATAATCAGTCAGGGTCGATTTTCAGTTTCCGATTTTCTTGAATATGCAATGTATTGTGGGATCGCCTGAAGGCAAAATTTATTCAAGAATGTTTTGAATTTATCACATTTCACTACTTAAACTGTTAACGTGTATTAAAAGACGATTCTGAATAACAGAGAAACAGACAAGAAAAAAATCTGCACAATACAAAGTCAAGTCACGTCGACACGCAGAAAAACTTAAAAAAAATCTTACCAATCTCTCAAGTACGCACGTGCGTATTTGCGTAAAGGACGCTACGCCCCTGCGTATTGTGTGGACAAATTCTCGGAGCTTGCTTGCATATTCTTTACGGCAGCAGTAAAACATCGAATCCGGAAACGGAAACGGAATCACGGAAACGGAAACAGAAACGGAATACGGAATCCGTGAAAGAAGTTTCCAAGCGATCGATTTGAAAAAAAAAAATGTTAGCAATGACAATAAAATAAATAAACAGATTTTTTAAAAAAAGACAAAAATGAGGCTGAGTCGAGGAGACTCCTGTATCACTAGAGGAGTAGATTCCGGTGAAAAGACTCTTGATACCACTTCCGGCAATGAATGCAATTAATTCTCATGGGACAGCAAATAAAAACTGCGGAGAAAAACATCACTGGCAAAAACTAGTTCCTTAAGAAACAGGTAAGTTATAAGGAGACAGACTTCGTTTAAATCGACAGAGGCGTCGCTTATGTAAATGAAAGGCGTCGCCGTCAAGTTTTTCCTGAGTGTCTTTTCTGGGTTGTAATCAACAGTGTTCAGTTTTTTTAGCAAGACAACTTACTCAAGAAAACCATGGCATTGTGGAGTCCAAAGAGAAAAGAGAATTGTGCATGCATTTGCTTGATATTTTACTCCGTATTCCGTATTCCGTATTCCGTATTCCGTTTCCGTTTCCGTTTCCGGATTCCAGATTCTGTGTTTTAGTGCTGCTATATTCTTTACAGTCAAGCCCGGTCATGCGTACCCTCTAAGATTCCGTTAATGAATTTAGGGTGCGTTCTACTGGGAAATCTGGATTTTGATTTTAAAATCCGGATATCGGATGGGTAATCGAACGCGAAATCCGAAAACGGATTTCAACGCTGAGATATCTGTTTTTGGATTTTCATTTTTACCGTTCGATAGGGCAATCCGAACAAGGATTTGAAAAACTGTCCTTAAGAACAGCGGTCTTGTTCGCGCACGCATAATTAGCAAAAAGAAGACCGCTGTTCACGAGAATAGCTTGCAAATCCCTTCTCGGATTTCCCAGCAAAAAGGAAATCCATGAAATCCGGATTTGGATTTCTTAATTGAAATCCTCCCCTTGGACGGATTTCTCGGAGGTGAAATCTGTTTTCGGATTTCAAAATCTAAATCCGGATTTCCCAATCGAAAGCAACCTTCTTTATTATTCAAAAGTTGAATCCGTTTGTAGATGTAAATTTCAGATTCATCTCTGCATTCTTGCATGCGTAATGAGCCACACTTGAGGCAGTTATACAATTTCTACCCCCTCAGTTTCCCTGAATTTGACATAAATGCCTTCGAAGCAATTTTATCCATTCAAAGATTTTCGATCTGACCAAATACAGAGACTTTCTCGTAAAATATTCACTGTTCATTACGCATGCAGGAATGACGATTTGACCGGCTTGACTAAATAATAATAATAAATAATAATGAGTCCTTATTTCATGAAAAGATAAAACAAAATATCTTATGTTACAATAGTACGGAAGATAAAAAACTACGTTAGTGTTCGTAGGACGTGTAAACACTGGTTTGCTTTGACAAGCTTGGTTTTTACATGCTCATTAAATTTCCCGTCACTCTGTAGAGTTACTCCTAGTAAAACGAAGCTATTTCATTGAGGAGTATTGTTAATTGGAGAGTAGAGTACATTGTGATTTTTCTTTCTAACAACCAGCTCTTTACATCTACAAGGGTTGCAGACCATTTTATTGTCTTTACACCAGGTTAAGAACTGTCCTACTAAGTCGGCAGACGGGTCGCGGTTCCTAGTGATAGGCGAAACTACAGTGGAATCATCGGCATATTTAAAAAGAACAGAGCAACCATTAAAGAAAATCTCCAAGTCATTCAAAAATATATTAAAAAGATACGGTCCGCTTACACTACCTTGTGTGGTTCCTCTATTGACAGATTTCCAATGTCCTAAAAAATTATAGCTAACAACACGTTGTTGTCTTGCATAGAGGAAACTCTGATACCAATTGATAATGTACGGATTTGGGGGTAGCTGTTTCAGTTTCGCAGACAAAATAGTATGGTTCACAAAATCAAAGGCCTTACTGAAGTCTATAGTAAAAATTCGCACTGCGCCACAGTCACTACTGTCTAAATACTTGTATGTCTGGTGCTGGATAGCGAGCAAAGCATTTGTGCAATTACTATACCCGCCTGTCTATATGCAAATTAGGTGTGGCTCAGATTGTTCTCAATGACTGACTGTGCTTGCGTACGATACACGATTTTCTCAAACAACCGCGCAATAACGGGAGTAACATTGATACCACGGTAGTCTGAGTCCTCTAAAGGCATGTCCCCTTTGAAGAGAGGATTAACATTTGCCCTCTTCCAAGAGTCCGGCCATGTATGAGGTAGACAGCGACAAATTACAAACGTGAGTAACGACAGGTGTGAGTAGCTCAGCACAGTCTTTCCAGATCCAGTCCGGGATATCCATATCAATAGGTCTGACGTAGCTGTCATCATAGCACAGGTTGGCGAAGTAGTCGTTCAGACGAACGGGAGAGTTGTTG